AAAAAGTTGCTCTTTATTAAACTGCATCTGAAAATCAGTAGAAAAAGATGCACAGGCACTGTTAAATTGTCCCAACTTGCTTTTTGGATTGTTTGATGTGAGTTACTTCCACGTTGCTTTCAGCAGTCTCAAACAGGACTCTGATCTCAAAGCTAGGAGAAGCTGCACCATCACCAGCCTGTCATTTGTGTATAGGAAAGGCCTCAGCTCTCAGCTTATATAAATGTTGCTTCCAAGCTCTACTGCCTTTCCTGAGGCGACTTAAGGAAAAAACAGAGTAAAATAGAAGCCTGCCTCTGAGGAGAAGAAAAGGAAGGAGGAGAAAGGCCGATGGGGATGTCAGGTTTTATAGTAACAAGTGGACTCAGCACTGGACTGCCAGAGACTCTGGGAATGCTCCAGGTGGGTGGTGTGGGTCTGGTAGTCCAAACAGGGCAGAAATTCTTGTTGTGCACGTTTTAAATGTGTCAGTGTCCAGGAGGAGGGAATGGCATGTGATAATCCTTGCCTTCCAAGCTAAGTGGGTTGCAATTGAATAATGCATGATGTGACAGGCTCGTATCGTATCTCTCTGACAAGAAGGCATTGCTTCCTCATGAGTGCCATGCTTAGATCTACAAGGGTAGCTAATTTTCCAGTAGAGGTATCTCCTTCAGTTGAGCTGGAAAAGATATGTTTGACCTGCAAGCTAGAAATATAGAAATATAAGGGAAGTTGTCTGAACTATTGACAGATCTCTGACTGTCGCGTACTCAGATCAGAAGTGTCTGCGTGCCGTTTTCAACTGATCCTGAAAAGGAGTCAGACTCTCATCTCTTTATTTCCAGAATGCAGCCCTGTAGCTGGTGTATGTGTTTTGTATCACGCAGTAGAGCTAATTCTGCCCACTTGACCTCAACAGTGAAGTTGATGTAATGGAAGCTGCAACTGGGGAATACGAGTTATATTCTTGCTTTTTTTTTTTTTTTTTTTTTTTTTTGACTGGTAATTGTTAAGTCAAAACTTGATGAATCAGGATTAAACACTTGTGAATTCTTTGCAGATCTACGGCACGTAACTTTATTGGTGGGTCTGGGATGGTTCACTGACGTGTATTCTGTACTGTTGCCTGTCATAGTATCTGAACAAAAGCAGTATATCTCAGAATTGCCAGTGTAATTCAGAGCAGTGTCTTTCCACTGGCTGCTGCTCTGCTGATTCTCTCATGAAGCCATTCATCTATGTTAAGTCTTTCCAGTAACTTTACATATCAATCATAAAGTGTCAGATATCTTCTCTTAAAGACTTGTGAATAGTAATCTGATATGTTGAATGCTGCATCAATCCTCTTAAGTGACACAGCTATTGAAAGCTCCACTGCTCCCTCCAGCAAATATTGGTTTATGCGTAACATCCTCTGCCTGGAGACAGTCTCTGAGAAGCAAACCAGAATTACACTTGGGTTGCAAGGGGACCCGTGTCTTCAGAGTACTGTTTAAGTTACAAACCTCATGTATGTTTGTGGTATCCTCTGCACCACTGACAGAAACCAAACGTGTGTAATCTTGGAAACGACCATAATTTTTGCTTTGAAAGCACTTTGCAAGGGGAAATTTTAATGGTGCCTTCCTGTTTTTGATCTGTAAGCTTAAAAATAGAACTGTGAAAGACAAACGTTATTGGGCCCTCTTTTCTGAGTGGATTTTTACCCTCAGAGCTATGATTGTCTTGCTTCATGAGAGAACTTCTCTCTCAGCCTTCCACTTCCATTCAGTCTCTTTTTAATTTCCCCTTCCCTCCCTGCAGGGAGGAATCTCCTGAAGCCTCTCCTCTCGAAGAGGAGTTAACAGATCTAAGAATGAAGGTGCTCCTGGACAGAATAAGACAGACTGTGGCAGCTCAGAAAGACCCACCAGTCTCACCTGTGCATCCTAGTGTTATGGCCCCCTGGATGGGATTACACCCGCCCTAGCAATTCCTTGTTTATTTCAGGGGTTGTCCAGTGTCTCTGGTCATTTGGAGCCACTGACAGGCAGTATTGAGTGTGATGCCAGGAAGCAAGATGAGAGCAGTAGGCCACACAGTAACGACAGTACTGGAGGCAGAGTGCTACTTAGGAGCAGTCTCTCCCCATTAAACCTAAGTAATAGTGTGAAGATAGGAAAGGCTGCAGCTGTGCCAATGGGAGGATGTGGCTTCTCCTTGGTATGGAAATAAATAGGAGGCATTCCTTTTGGAGCAACCTGTATAGACTTGAAACAGTGTTTTCAGTAGGGTAGGAAGAGATCTAATGTTCAGAGGGTAATTGCATCCTGGTTTGCAAAGGACCCTGTCCGCGAATTTTGATTTCACTTGCATTTTCAGACTCAGACATGCTGCTGCTGGAGTTGGTGGGTGAACATTGTGGCCATTCCTCAGCCACAAGAGACCATGCTGGAGCAGGAGTTTGGAATGCTCTGTTGCAGGTGTGAATGCCTGAGCCATGACTTCCCCTGTCCTCTGTAGAAGGAGGGAAGTTGCATCCCTGGAGACAGTAGGACTGCTTTGCCTGGCAAGAGGAGCTGGAACTGGCTGAATTGCTGGCTTTAGCTACAGCAGGTGCACATGAGGAAGAAAGTAAGGGAAACAGAGAGACTCCTGCTGTAGCTGTAGTGGCAAGGGGGAGCTTCAACAGCCTCTGTTACAGAGCAGCTTCGGTGTGGGGGAGACCAAGCAGAGCCTTCTTCCAGTACTAAGCAAGCACATGACAGCTCTTTGTAGCTGTCCTAGAAATGTCTCTGGAAGTGTAGTGTTTCTCTGGAGTGTGTTGCAGCTCTGTACCTGAATTTCCTCTTGGCCCTCTCCTCTGTCCAGAGATTTTCCAGAGTTCACTGTAGCACTTGGGGTTTTGCGGGTGATGAAACTGGATGCAAAACTCCACCAGCAGCAATCATTTTAAATAGATTAAGAACAAGTCTGCCTTTACCGTGCAGAGCAGGAGCACATAGAAGGAAAACTCTCCCGAGACTTTGAAGCCAGGTTTCATTAGCTGCTTCAGTACTCATCAGACTTATCATCTTATAGCAGAGTACGTCTGTGGGGAAGATGCTGTATCTTGATGCTGATCACAAACTGCAATTCCTTAGCAGTAATAAAGTAATTGCATTAACAGGGAGTAGGAGAGAATATTTTCTTTTTGGAAGCAAAGGTTTTCACAGGTTTTACTCTGTCAGAATTAGCATCCAATGCATTCCATTGAAAGGAGTTGATTTCAGATGTCATTTTACTGAATTTTCTGCCATCGGACAGCCTGCCAACTTTTTTCCCCACTTCTCAGATGTTTCTTACTCTGTCTGAGTAAGGATTTTTCTTTTAATTTTCTATACTTCACCCAGCACCAAGATGTAGTTGAACCACAAAACCCAACAGATGGTTGGGTCTGCTTCTCTTTCTCTAAAAATTCTTTCAACCTTCTCATAGCTCCCTTGTTCTGCAGTGATCAGGAACTCTGGATTCATTTAATTTCCTGCCTGTGCACAGACACCCCCCCCCCCCGTTTGCTCCTGGCCGTGCCTTGTTGTGATTGCCAGCAGAAAGTGCTGGAAAGGCTGTTGGATTGTGTACCTCCGTGATGGCCTTCCCCGCTCTGATGTAGCCACAGAAACTCATACTGTTAAATGCACTGTAGCTTGAGTTCAGTGGAGGAGTTTGGTAATTGTTTTCAATGCCAGCTGTACTTTAAGCTAACAGAGGAGAAGATTGCAGCCTTTCAGTACCTAAAGGGAGCCTACAAACAGGAGGGGAATCAACTCTTTGAAAGGATAGATAACAGTGGGACATGGGGAAATGGTTTTAAGTTGAGGGAGGGAAGATTTAGGTTGGATGTCAGGGGGAAGTTCTTTACTATGAGAGTGGTGAGGTGCTGGAACAGGCTGCCCAGAGAGGTTGTGGATGCCCCGTCCCTGGAGGTGTTAAAGGGTAGGTTGGATGGGGCCCTGGGCAGCCTGGTCTAGTATTAAAAGGGGAGTTTGGTGGCCCTGCATGTGGCAGGGGGGTTGGAGATTCATGATCTTTGAGGTCCCTTCCAACGCTGGCCATTCTGTGATTCTGTGAAGATTGACCGAGAGCATGATGGAGATACTGCAGGAGATCACTCCTTGTGGGTGGGCGAAGATGCTGAGATGATGGGTGTTTGCTCTGCTCTTTGGCTTGGGCTCAGCACATCTGCTCACCTCTGCCCAGCCTGGAAAGGTAATAGCTGCTGGAGATGAGTAGAGTGTTTGGCTCAAAGACCATACTTGAAATCTAGGTTATACTTTTGAAGTATGTCTTGGCTTTCTTCTTCTTTACCACTGCCCCTTGTGTACTTCTCTGGAGTGAGGTCTAGCAAAAGTGTGCTTGCAAACACTTCACAACCCACAATCTCAAGATGCTTTATGGTCTCCTATTAAACACAAAACCCTTCTATTCATAGGTCACTTCTTTAAATGCTGGTTCAAGCTCATTCCTGCCACTTCACACTGCTCTGGAGGTGCAGAGAGAGCAGCGTGATGGGCCAACCCCTCCGTGCTGGGGAGCATCAGTCTCTCTGTGGACCTGGGGCTCAGGTTTCAGTAACACAATGCTTCGTGCAGCCATGTACGTGTTCAAAAGAGCCAACTGGCTGGAGCTTCCGCAGTGACGCTCTGCTGATTTGGCAGCTGGGTTGATTCTGTCAAGTTACAGTATGGGAGTGAAGTCCAGCTACAAATCCTCTCTCTTACCCACTCGAGGAACATGGGGAGGGGAGAGGGAAGCTCTCACGGGACTTTGTGTCATTATTGGCATGGAAATGCTTTGTGATTATCAGCAGCAGGGTAGTGGTAAGGGGCTGATTATCTATCATGTCGTCAGCATAAATAATCAGTGGGCCCCTGAGCTGGGCTCCGCCTTTTGCAATGGCTCCACGTAATCACTGCATAACAGTTTAAAAGCAAGCAGAACAGAAAAACAGCTGGACTAATTCTGATCCTAACTGATGTTGCCTTTTCTCCCTTCACCAGAGGAGAAATATGTCACTATTCAGCCGTACGCCAGCCAGGGGAAGGATGAGATTGGGTTCGAAAAAGGGGTCACCGTGGAGGTCATCCAAAAGAACCTGGAAGGATGGTGGTACATCAGGTAAAGAAGCTGTGCTGCCACGGTTCCACAGGGCCTGTGGCAATGAACTTTTCTGATTGTTTACTTAACGTTAGCACTTAACTAATTCTGTAGCTGGGCAAGCAAACCCAGATTATCCATACTGCATCTTGAAGAAACGTAAAGAAAAGGCAAAGACAATGTGATGTTGATTAACGAAATACTACAGTGTGTGCAAAAGCTGTAGATTATTCTAGTGGGGAAATTCCTTAACCTGTGGAAATTTTTTCCTTCCTTCAAGTTAAAAGCCCATATCTGAGTTATGACAGTCCTGACAAGTCCTGTTGCGTGTGATTTTAATATTTCCAGTGTAAGTTTTTCTGCAGTATGTTTAAATCATTTATAGCAATGCTGAAAGGCTGATTGTGGTCTGCTGAGCTGTTTGGGGTAGACAGTGCTGTTTTCAGGGACAAAAGATCAATTTTCTGGCTATTGCTCTTCATAAAATTAACTGACGCTTCAGGTAATTCGCCTGACTTCTGCTTATCCAGACTGGGCCTTCAGGAATGTGTTCCAAGGGCAGGTGAAGTTATCATCACGTATCTAACTATGTATTTGAAATAACAGTCATAGAGGCTTAAGCACTTTAAAAGGAGATTTTTCTGGAAAAATGTTGTTAAATGTATGTTAAGTGTGTCTAAGATAGGGATATAAGGTGTCGGTGCTTTGAAAACTTTCTCCATCTAGGCTTACACAGCATGTAGGATTCTGCCTCTTCATAACAAATGCATTGTTCAGGTGTATGAATCTGGTGGTATTGTGACATCTCAGGTCCTTTTAAACAAGAAGTGATACAACAGATACCTTAAATGCCAGTTTGTCTCTCAGGCAATGCAGCACATCTCCTGGAGCCATCTTTCTGTTCAGCATGTAATGATTTTTCCCTTTTCCCTCTTCAAGTTGTAACTTCCTTTTGTTTGAGTTCTGCTTGATTCAATAGCGATGAATGAGGGCTATGAAATTGCTGACCAAAGCAGTGTTGTTGTTTTTCTTGATGTCCTGTAGTTAGAAAATAGATTTTTCTCTTCCATCTAATGCTCCCATAGAGGGAAGAGGCTAATAAAGATAGCAGTGGAGTCAGGGAGGTACTCTAGATAGGAGGCACTCAGAATGCCTGGGTTTGGTCAGGTCACATTTTTTTCTCCTTTAATCATTCTCAGGAGTGGAATCCAAAGTTGCAGCTAGAGGAGCCAACAGCATGTAGACTTTGTGAGGGAAGAAGCAATGCAAGATACCTCCAGTTTATTTTAGTGTTCTTTGAAATGCATCTGCATTACTACCATAGTTTCCCCTTGCCATGCCAACAGCTCTACAATAAATAGAAATCCCTTTCTTTCTTTTCCCTTGCACTGTCCTTTCAACTAGGCACATGGTTTTTTAGGAACTAAAGCACAAGTGTGTGCTTGTCAGGCTCTACAGCAGAAGTGCAATCTGGCATACAGTGATGCTTGCTGAAGTGGCTCCTTCACATTCATCCACTTGAAGGCCACTGGGTTCCACACCCTCTCCATGATAGGCTGGGAATGCAGCACGTCCATAGCTTTTCTTCTTAAAGAGACATTTTGGGTTGAGCAGCCTCTGCTTTGTTGAAAGGTGGATTAGCTCTTCCCCGTAGGAGTGCATTGGGTGCTTTGATGCCATTCGTCCTCTGCTGCTGTAGCGCACTACTCTGCTCTCTGCCTGGAGGTTTATTCAGCTCTTAGAAACTTATTTTTCCACTAGCAACACTTTGAGAAATGTTGATGCAGTGATCCGTCCCTGGCAAGCTGCTTCTTTGCAGCCCAAACCATCTTGAACTTCTTGTGCTATTTATTAGGCTTAAACCCCCATGATACTGTTTGGGACCACTCAGAAAAAAGGTTCCTCATCCTCAACAATTCTGCATTCTGAGCACTGAGTGCCTTACAGGCTGCAACTCTCTCTTCTGCAGTGAGCATGCAGGAAGATGGGAAGAGGTTGCAGCTGAATCCTGCTGCTTTGTTGTTTGCTGAGCTGGATATCAGAGCCCCGCATAAATGTCCAGAAATACAAACAAACCCAGCAGCTTGCAAATGGAATCCACCTTAAAGACATTAGCATGTTCCACCTTAAATATGTAATTTCCCCAAATTCCTTGCCATGTGCTGATCCTCATTTCCTGTCCTTCTTTTTTTCTTTTTTTTTTTTCCTTTTTTCTTCTTTTTTTTTTTCCTCCCCCAGTTTGCTTCCCTCTGGAGTAGTTCCAGTGCTCTGGAGCTGGAAAGCAGATGTGACTCTCAGACTCACACAGGCATTTCTGCCTTTATTTTATTTTATTTTTTTTTAAAACATTCCTATGGTTTGAATCCATTTTTTCCTTCACGTAATATAAACGGAGAGTTTTGGAATCATGGGGAACCAAATCAGAGCACCTCATTCTATAACCCTCCCATTTCTTTGCTATAGAAGCTAGAGACAATATTGATGTTTTCCTTTACTTTTGTATGTTATGTCTTTAAAAAAAATTGTTTCAAATGTGAGAAATGAAACAAATGCTCTGACATGGATCCTTTGTACTGCTCCACTGAGTTCAGTGGATCTGTGCACTTCCTGATGACATTAGCACCCATTGTTTAAATCTTGCTTTCCATCATAACCCTCTCCTGGAGGTACTCTCATGGTGCCTGTTAGCATTCAGATCACAACACACTAAGCAAAGAATTTGCTATCAGTCTGCTGCTTCAGTTTTGTTATTTGTTCTGAGCCTGAGCCCAAGTGAATGAGGTGCACTTGGGGTGGTAAGTAGCTGCCCTAGAGCTGGGAGGGACCTAGGCTGGGGTTTGAGGTATTTCCAGTGGGTTGTGATTATAAAAGAAGGAAGGATGTTTGTGATTCAGCTCTTGGACGTGAAGTGAAGGCTGTTACTGGTTCAAGACTTTTCTGAAGCTGGTTGGCATTTGCCATTAGTTGTTGATCTCCCTGTTTTGTAGGTGAGAGTAGTCTTTGAGCTGATGTTTGCAAAAGCGGTTTGAGATTACCATGTTGTTCAAGAACTAAGGTGTAAGCCTATTTGACATCTTACATAAGCATCATTTTATTTGTGGACATGCAGAAATAAGCTGGCAGTTGCTGGCAGCTACTGCTCAGCATTAACTTCAGATTGAATTTACTGACTCATAGGAAGGAGCAGCTAGCAACAGCCTCTGCCGGGAGGGTACGTTGCCCAGAGTTATGAACTGTCCAGCTATTGCTGCTTCTATTCATTGGGAGAAACTGTGTGAGATCAGAGGTCTGAAGCAGTGGGATTATATGGGCTGATCCAAACAGCCACACACAGTTGGCAGGAGAACTAACGAGCCAGCACAGAACCTGCCTGTTGCTGCTTCTCTGATCTTAAGCATATTAAGTCACCCACAAACTAAGATGGATGTAGAATATTTTTTCTTGCTGATTTTGCACAATCAAGCTCTGTTAAAATAACCTTTGCAGTGTTCGCTGCAGTTCTCAGTGCACTGGCCAGCCTAACTTTCTCTTCAAGCTAAAATCTTGACATTTCCAAATTATGTAAAGTTCTCTGTCCTTCCAAAAACAACAACAAACTTACCTAATGCACTGATCTGTAGCTCTGCAGAAGGACCATCTACTGCAAAAGCAGATGGAGCGAAAAGTCTTCAAGACTTAAAAATGGTACTGAGATGCCTCCTCATAACGGGAGGCATGTGTTGCATTGGAACATATGGAAGTCTTTTTTTTTTTTTCTCTTTCAGCTCAGTTTGTGGTTTGTCTGAAAATCCTCAAAGAGGACAGAATTGTGTAGATCGAAGTCATATCCTGATGCAATATCAGTAGCTTGTTGTTGCATATCTGTTAGAAGCCAAATCAAGTCATTATCACTTCATTACTTTTTATTAGTCTCCTTGCTGCAAACAAAGCTCAAAGCTCTTGGGATGTTTTTCTTTGATACCAGAATCCTTGGAAAAACTCATAGCTGAGCTCTGAACAGGGAAGATCCTTATCTTTGCCTTCATGCATGACAGAGAGAAGCTGCTGTAGGAAACAGAAGCATCTCTGTTTTGTGTCCTTGTTGATATAGATGAGAGGGGAGGAAAAAGCAAGCTTTTGAACACAGAGACCCTTGTACTTGTTGCTGTAAGTACAGAAATTGTTTTGTACAGCAGGATACTAACAAAAAGTCTAAGGAAGACAACGTACAGTATGTGTTCCTGTTTCATCCATAAAGTCTTGGTGCCCTTCTTGAGTGTCCAAATGTGATGGATGAGCCCAGGATGTGCCCTGGTGCATTAATCTCACAGTGAACCACAGAATCCTTGCTTTCCATAACAGTTATGAATCTAATTGAAAACTAATTTTATGATATTTCCCCACCCAGCTTCCTCCTTTGCGGTCTGAATTTCTACTTTCGCTGAAGAGCCTTAGAGTCCTACTGTTTTAACCTTTGTATTTCCTGCAGATTTCCTGAGCACCAGGAATTTAATGAGGCCTGCTTTCCCACTTACAGTTCAAGCACCTGCCTTGGGTATCGTGAGAGATTAAAGAGAGAAGGGCTTCAGTGACTCACTCTGTAGCAAGTTAAGGTTTCATTAGGGAAAGCAGAGTTCATCCACATAGTCCTCCCTGGAGTCTGATTGTAATCTGAAATCCCTGCTGAGGTGTTAGGAATGGCAGGAGTTAGAAAAACCATCTTCCCAAAAGCCCAGTTGTGGAAGAATGACTTCAGTTTGAAGTGTAGCATGAGCAGCTGAGTCTGATGCTCCAGGAACTCGTACTGGATTCAAGTGTCTTTTCAGATTTCCCAGTTTATTTCTTCAAATAGCCCCTAGCTTGTTTAAGAAAATGAGTCTCCATCAAAGCTGGTTGTATTTTTTTCTAGTCACATTTTTTTCTTGACCATGCAGTGATGGAGGAAGCTACAGTGGTTCAACAATCCCGTATTCTCCATAAAAATAAAAAAGCTGATCAGACAAGACTGGGAGTTATGAGAGGAGGGGAAGTATTCATTATTATAATTACAAGGAGATAGGATTGCACAAGTACCTTTTATAGAGCGCATGCAGGGGCTCTGTGTGTGGATGAATTTCATTCTTATTTTAACTCTTTTCTATTTTGAGTTGCTGCTTGGAAGGGTTAAAATCTTTTACTCACTAGCTTGCATTTTTTTGCTGTACGGAAGAATACTGAATTTTTTTTAGTACTGTCTAGATGGGGCATAAAACAAAAGTGTTCAAGCTCTTGGTCTTGTGAGTAACTATGTTCCTTACTCAGAGAGACTTTATGATAAGTGACTTTTGACTGTAGTCTGCAGTTTGCTACTAGCTGAACTGACTTTGAGATGTCAATAGGTAATAAATTCAGTACTCAGATCAGCTTTTGTGGTCTCCAAGTTTTGTTTTATGCCATTATCCATTAATTTTGCCTTTGTTGTTGCACCTGAACTGCATTGAGAAAGCTGTGTTCAATGTGTTGATATTTCCTTTTGCGCCTGCAGGTATCTTGGAAAAGAGGGCTGGGCCCCAGCTTCATATCTGAAGAAGGCTAAAGATGATCTTCCATCTAGAAAAAAGAACTTAACTGGGCCAGTGGAAATCATTGGAAACATCATGGAGATCAGCAACCTGCTGAACAAGAAATCCACTGACAAGGAAACTCAAGCAGAAAATGAGACCTCAGAAACACATATCACCAAGAAGGAAATCAGTTTGCCTATTCTTTGCAATGACTCTAATGGTAATGCCATGATGACACCGGACAAGCAGGCTTCCAAACTGGCCCAGGGATCTCCAGCCATAGCAAGGATAGCGCCACAAAGAGCTCAGATAAGTAAGTCATTAAAGTAGTGAAGATTTCCAATTTGCAATGAATTGTTTTCTATCTTTCAGGACTGGTGTTACTTAAGGTCAGCTTAGGTCCAGCATATGCTGCCCTTAGAGCTGAGCCTGCTGTGTAGATCTTTGCACTTGTCTGTAGATTTGCAGGAACTCCAAGTTACGGTCATTTTTTAATAGTGATAAAATTTGACTTTATATAAAGACTGGCTAATGCTTGTTTATTTTAGCCTCTGTGTGGAGACTTAACATTTTATTTCAGGAAAAGGTTTTTTTCCCTCTTCTATGCACCATAAAATGTGCTGCCCCTCAGCTGTGGTAATGCAGATGATGTAATGGTGCGTTCAAATCAAGGAGATCATGTACATCTTATCTTGCATTTGTTTTGCTTTTTTCCTGGGATCAAGTTGCTATAATGTTTGTACTGCTTCATCGGCAAAATGCAGATGCTAACACTCATCTGGGCAGGGAATGGTAAGATACTTTGAGAAAGGATAATATAAATGTTACTAATAGAGTGGATTATTTTTACTGCTGGGGGGAAAGCTAGATATTAGGCCAGTTCTTTGCTGGCTTGTCTCCAATGGCCTGGTCAGTTCCAGCAGAAAATACAATCCACTACTTTCTGGCAGTGATTTCCTTTTAAATTTGCTAGCCTAGCTGAGATGAATAGCAAAGTTGCCTTAGTATTTCTAATATATCCTCTTCCTGCTTCCTGCCTTGTTTCACAGAGGTTGCTTAAATATTTCAAATATTGATTTCTAGTAATTGTAACAGAGGAGAGCTGCTGAAGAATGTGTTTAGCAGTATCTAACAAGTTAAAGAAAATTTCCCCTCATCTTTCCTGCTTAGGTTCTCCAAATTTAAGAACAAGGCCACCCCCACGAAGAGAATCCAGTCTGGTTTGTATTGTTTTACAATATATAGTAGCAGTGGGGTAGGAGGAGTGTGGGTACTTCATTAGGCTTCCTACAATTGTACTAAGTGTGGTGCAGTGGGGCATATCAGAGACATCCTTTATTTTCATGACTGTTCATTTTATTGTTGAACAGACATAGATACCCTAATGTTAATTGGGAGATTTGTTTTCTTTAGTTAGGGCAACATCTTGAAAATTTTTGAAAATGTTGAACTGTTCTTAATTTGCAGTCCCATATCAGAATATTTTGATGCTATGTTATGTCTGAACCTAGAAAATAGTCACTTTCATTCCTACTGAAAAGGTATTTTGAGGAGGAGAAAGTCGTGTTGGACGTGAGACAGTTATTGGGAGTTAGATATCAGAAGCCTTCACAAATGAGTATGCAGAACTCTAACTGATCTGACCCAGCAGTTTCATACCAACCCTTCAACCATATGAAGAATTGGTGGTATGAGTATTTTCACAGGAGAATAAAAGTTTTAAGTAGGGAGAACGTTGTAAATCCACTGTGTCCTGTGAATGTGCATTAAAGCCAGTTTGGCTGACTTAGAAGTTTTAAAGTTCTTCTGAATATTTTTTTCAAGGACTCTGTCTTTTGACCTGAAATGATAGATGACTTGTCGTAACACCTGGGAGTGTCTTCCCTCCTTCCATTGCTCCCATCTCTGAGGTGGCTAAGCTTCACTGTCGTATATGTTTAAAATGACTTGGGATCTTATGGAAGGGTGCGTGCTGCAGGAGTAAGACCTTCTTTGATCCTTTTTTTTCAAAGCTGGGAGTGTGGAATTTTGAAACAATTTATGACATTTGGACCATCATCTGGGTAGTTCACATCTGAAGTAATCTATCGCACAGAAGTCACAGTAATAACTTCTTTATAGACAGACAATGCATAGTATTCAATCTTTGCTACAGCTTTTTTTGGTCAGTTTGTGTTACTTGAGATGCCTCTCAAGCAATCAGGTGAATATACCCTCTAAAATGTGATAGCTTAATGTAAAAGCATATAGCTTTTAGAGAAGTCTGATATGCTATTGTAATAGCCATAAATATCAGTGCCTTTTTTCTCATGGAGCCATTGTAAAATGTAAATGTGGGTTTTGTTGACATTTGGATGTTGGTATTGTTTTGGGACTGTTATGGAGAGAAACAGGAATCTTTTTGTTCTATAGTGACGTTCTTCCCCTTCTTTTATCACTTAAGCTGAGCAAAGCTCTCCTTTCTTGTTGAAGATATCCATTTGGTCATGTCATTGAAGAATTACAATCCAGCAGCGTATTAAAAGCAGTAATTACATTACATTTTTATAGTAGTATATTTGGCAATAGGCAGAATCTATCATAGGCATGTTGCAATGCATTTTTCTGCAGTTGTGACAAGTCATCCAGAATGGAGTGTTACTGGACAAAGCCCCAGAGTAAATGGGGTGGCTGTGACTGGTATGGCAGCTCACAGTTTATGCCCCATCAGTAAAATGTTTTACTGTTCAGGTAAAGATTATCACACTCGCAGTAGCTAGCAAAAATGTCATTGACAGTGCATATTTAGAAAGCCTTCTCTCTTGCATCCCATCTCTTTAGGAAGTTGCACAGGAAGAAGAAAGAGTTCAGTGAATAGAATGTCTGAGAAGGCAATTTCTCGTTCATACTGCTGTTCAGCCTGCTGTTTCTATGGTTTAACTGAACGAAACTTCCTGTTTGCCATAGGGTTTTCAGTTGCCCAAACCACCAGAGCCACCCTCTGTGGAAGTGGAATACTACACCATTGCAGAGTTCCAGTCGTGTATCTCTGATGGGATAAGCTTTCGCGGTGGACAAAAGGCAGAGGTGAGCCTTAACAGTGCAAACAGTGGAAAAATAATGCTTGGCTGTTGTAGGGGACAGGATTGAAATGCAAGGAGCGAAAAGTAATTCATAGAGATTTTTGTCTAAGTAATGTGTTCCTTATCGTCTCATAGGTTATAGAAAAGAATTCTGGTGGCTGGTGGTATGTGCAGATTGGAGAGAAGGAAGGATGGGCTCCAGCATCTTACATTGACAAGAGGAAGAAGCCAAATTTAAATAGAAGAACAAGTACTTTAACCCGCCCGAAAGTTCCTCCCCCAGCACCACCCAGTAAACCTAAAGACTCTGAAGAAGGAACGACTGGAATGGTTTCTTCAGAGAATACCCAGGACTCTCCCCACAAGGTGAAATATGAAGAACCTGAGTATGATGTGCCTGCCTTTGGCTTTGATTCAGAGTGTGAAGTAAATGAAAGTCATCGTGAAGAGGGCACTCCTGAGAAACGACTGTTTCAGCCCCTCAAGCCCTCTCCTGTGTCATCACTTCAGAAAGCAAAGTTCAAAGTAGGAGAGTCTTCAGAGGATGTTGCTAATGAAGAAGAGACCATTTATGAGAATGAGGGGTTCAGGCGTTATGTGGAAGATTCTTTGTCCAATAAGGAATCTAGTGGAGACTCTGATTCTCAGAAAAGCTCTTCTCTTTCTTTGATTCGAAGGAACTCGCCATGTTCTCTCTCTCCTAAATCATCGTTCATGAAGCCCAAGATGGAAAAAGACATCCAGCCCGAGATTGGAAAATGTCACTATTCTAGGAGTGAGGAGACAAAACCAAGATCAGCTTCAGATGTTGGCTTACGTAGCGTGCCAAGAACAGGCATGAAGAAAGAGCCTGGGCAGAGTCCTTCAATTAGAGCAAAACCAATTGTTAGGCCCAAACCATTCCTGAACAAGGCAGATTCTCAGAGTCAAGAAAAGATGGATATCAGCACTTTAAGGCGTCAGCTGAGGCCAACTGGGCAACTCAGAGGTGGACTTAAAGGTTCGAGAAGTGAAGAGTCTGAAAGCCCACCACACACAGCTTCTGAAAACCACGATGACCATGTGAGGAGGGGCTCAGCTGACCTCATTACAGTTCCTTCCCGTGGCATTTTCTGTTCTAGCCATCCAGCCAAAACTGAGCAGGAAAATGATTCCAGGTGTTTCTATGTGACCACTGACTCATACCAGAAGGTACAGGATTCTGAAATTTGCTTCCCAGCAGGAGTGGAAGTGGAAGTGCTTGAAAAGCAAGCCAGTGGGTGGTGGTACCTGAAATATGGAGATATGGAAGGCTGGGCTCCTTCCCATTACTTGGCTCTCCCTGATAACCAGCAAGAAACCACATCAGTGGAGACCGATGCCTCATTCACCAGGAACAGGAAAAATGAAAATAAATCAAACAGCTTAGAGAAGATAGAGAAGAGGGTTCAGGCTTTGAACACCATCAACCAGAGCAAACGTGCAACACCACCCATCCCAAGCAAACCTCCAGGTGGATTTTCAAAAACATCAGGACCTGTAAAAATGCGGAATGGTGTGAGGCAGCTTGCTGTCCGGCCTCAGTCGGTGTTTGTCTCCCCACCACCTAAGGATAACAACTTGTCGTGTTCCTTGCGCAGAAATGAGTCTTTAACAGCCACAGACCATCTTAGAAATGTGCGTCGCAATTCCTCCTTCAGTAATGCACGGTCACAGCCAGGTGATGCAAAGGGAAAGCAGCCTGAGAGGTCGGGCTCCGAGGGTTCAGAGCCCACCTCCAACCTCCCCAGCCAGAGGAATGGGATCCCCGTGTCTACTGTCAGGCCAAAGCCCATTGAAAAATCCCAGTTCATCCATAACAACCTCAAGGACATCTATGTTTCGATTGCAGACTATGAAGGGGATGAGGAGACTGCAGGATTTCAAGAAGGTGTCTGCATGGAGGTCCTTGAAAGGAACCCAAATGGCTGGTGGTACTGCCAGATCATGAATGGTGTGAAGCCATTCAAGGGCTGGGTGCCCTCAAATTATTTGGAGAAAAAGAACTAGTATTGCAATATCTTCAACCTCCCTAATTTATACTGTTCCTGCTGTGTACATGTGGAAAAAAATAACTGCTATACACAAAGACCTTTCCCATGTGCCCCAGTTTGTACAAAGGGACAAAGGAGTCTATGCTGAGGACAAATCTGCCATGTTCTGGAGAGGTTTGTGGGGTTAACATGTTGTAAGCAACTATGAAGATGCAGCAGTCAACTGCCTTTTTGTGAAGTTGTTAATAATCTTATATGTGTAACAGGGTATGACATCCCATCTTTCCCGTTATTGATAGGAAACCAAGTGTGTGCCTTTCATGAGAGAAATACACATGCATCTCAACTTGGGGAGTTCTGTGCCAAACTCTTTTACAATCTTGGCTCCCTTTTCTCCTCGTTCTTGTCCGTATGTGGAATACCCAAGAGTTTCAGATGCATTTCTACAACTTGCAGTGAGAAGCAAATGGAATTTTCTGAAACACAAAGGGACTCAAATCCTTTGGAGAAGCTTTTTTTTTTTTTTTTTTTTTTTTTTTGTCTTCTTCTCAACAGTTGTTTGGTCCAGAGTTGGAGCCTTTTCATCGTGGAGAGATTTGGTCTCTGACTTCATCTGTGTGTTCTTTCTGCTAATTCACCCGGAATGGCGATCAGGTGGTGTTGGTTGGAGGGCTCCTTGTTTCCTTTCTTTCTGTCTCCTTCTTTGAGTTGATATCAGGTGTTCTGGGGCAGCAATGCCTACTGGTGCTTGTAAAAACAAACCTACAAACCCCATGCTTAAGCACGTTTATTACTTTGTAAGCTCCCTATTTAGTTCTGTGCCTGACTTCTGCCAGGAGATCCTGGTTGAGTCTCTTTACAGAACTGGGTTTCTCAAAACTTGTCATAAAATCAAAATGTACAAAAGTCCCTTAAGACACTGAAGATGTGGCTGTCAAATGCGTTGCTTCTGCTTTTCTAGCAGTCTGGTCCAAATCCAAGCATACTGTCTGCTAGCAGGGCCCATAGAGGTATTAGTTAGAAATAGCTGTAACCTTCTGCAACATCAGTGTTTACAACGAGGGGGAAAAAAAGCCATCAAACTCGGTCTGCACATCTTTAATTTGTATATTTTTGGGGAATTGTTTTTCCATGTTTTGTTTCTTTTCTGTGCATTCTGGGTTGTTTTGTTTTTTTGTTTTTTTTTTTTTTAGTCTTGGTTTACCAAAAGAGACTTAAAACTGAAGTAGGAGCCAAATATGTGTTTCTGTTCCCACTTGAATCCAAGAAGTACATTTGTACTGGAAAGTGTGCCTGGGCTTTTCAGGCTCAGGGATTTAATATCAAAGCAATTAAGTCTAAAACACATTAACCAGGAAGCTGCCTCTTCTAGTTCCATTTCTGTTTGTTTTTTTTTAACTCATGCTTTGAAATGTGGCACCTGATGAAGATGGCGTTGTGTGAAATAGAAGAGGCATCCACTGCAGAAGGCTTTGGAATATGAAGTTATTCTTGAGGTAGCCAACTCTTGTACTGTAAACATCATTGGCCAAATCCCTACTGTACTTGAGAAAGCCTTGCTTATTTTTTTTTTATTTTTAAAATGGTTCTGTTAATCACTCTAAATCAAAATCTAATTCTTTTAAATAGTAGGTAGTCTTGTGTCTGTTTTAAGAGGGAAGAGGCAAACTATTTCACTACTGGTTTACACAAGATGATCCATGCCCTTTTTTTCCACCAGAGCTTCATACGATTTGGCTTGGAAGGTAAAGGTTACAAAGACTTAAAAATAGCTGGGTTCGAGGGTCTGAGTAAAATAGCACAACAGTATTGTGTGTTACGGGGGATGTTTCTCTGCCAAAAAAAAATTATACAATTTATACGTTGTTCTTGTCTTTATTCTTAACTTTTTTTTTGGGGGGGGGGGGAGGGTGGGGCTTTTAATTGCTATGGTAATATTGAGAGAGTTGCCTACAGCTAACCTGTCTGATATCCTTTAGGTGGCCGAAATAACATCGAAGTGCCACAACAGGCTACAAGCAGTGCTGTGTTTTGAGGGGCTCTCAGAATCCAGGCAGGGAGGGGTGGGTGTTTGGGATCCCTTTCAGTTGTGGTGGCAGGAGAAGGAGGTGTATCTGCACAACAGCTTGTATCAGTGTGCAGGACCCTCTTTGTACCTTACATCTTACTATATAATATATATGTATGTATCCAGTTAGCTTCATCTTACTGGATGTGTATCTGAGGCATTGTGGCCCAGTCTCATACTTCTCCCCATTTTTAGTTGTACTAATATGGTCGCAGCTGTAAAAGGCTGTTGGAGATGTTGTGAGATTACAATAGAAGTATTATATTCTTCTGCTGGACAGTATTAAATAGAGCAATACATAGAGTTATCTGCTAGATTGCAGTACTAATAGTAGTGACTTAGTGACTTGTATTAATGTTATGATTTATTTTAACAATAATGATGCGGAAGTGGTTCATTATTTTGAATTAATGCACTTTAACAATAAAAGAAACCAAAATGGAAGCCAATGCAGAGAACTAAGTGCATTATTTAAAGGTGCAGTATATAATTATCATTTTCTTGAAGCACATATTTATTAAGAATTAACTTATTATTTAAAATATTCTAACGTTGTTTAGAGACATTCCCACCAAGTCGTCTCTTTGGGGGGAAGTAGAAGCACAGCTCCCAGATCTTCTGCATTGAGCCACTGAATTCTTCAAGTATGGTGCAGAGTGATGTGAGCCCCCCGCCCAGGGAGAGGAGAGTAGCATACAGCTCAGATAGGAAAGCCCAGGCTGCAACAGATAGTCACACTTACATCCAGCCAAAGTTGAGCCCGGAGTGTCTCTGAGCTGCAGCAGTCCTTGTAGGATTTGAGAAGGAAAAGCTGCTTTTTGTGGCTATTTGTGATGCTTGGTGCCACGTGCCTTGCATGATGCTGAATGGCATGGATGGGTGATGCCTGTATTATCAGGCTTTTCTCAAGCATCAGCCCAATGCACACACTGGCCCAATTGCTGCTTTATCCCATCTTGAAAGCTTTGTGAGGGCTGAGGAAAGCCAGAGCCTATAGATGAGGCTGCAAAGCCAGTGCTGTTGTGACTGCCCCCTGCCCTTCCACAGAAGGGATGAGTGCAGATTAGCTGCTTGTTGTCAGCAATGAGTGAGGGCTGCTGCCTCACACACTGGGCTTGCACCCAGTGGGAAGGCTCTGGTTTGGGCTTCCTTTTATTTGATGCTGTACTTCTGAAAGACACTTCTAAAGCAAATACCATACTCCAGCAGCCCCCGAAAATAGTTACTTTCTTTTCTTTGTCCTCTCCTCTTGCTGTCATCACAGGTGATTTATTTTTTTGTTATTTTTTTATTCTTGCAACTGAAAGATATCAGGTCAATTTTTAATTTTTTTTCCATTGGCAAGCAGCTGGTTTCCAAAAATTGCAAGCCATTTTCTTCATTAGCTGTGAAACAAAGGGAAAGGCCCTGAAGTCCATCAGAGAACTGCCCTGACTGCAGGGCAAACCTGGAAGGGGGGGACTCGAAGGACAGTGCAGTGCAGAAATGTTCGAGCTCTCCTCTGAAATGTTCATGTCGCCTTAAGCTTTATTTACTAAATTTGTCAGAACTGACACTGGATTAAGAGCAATATTTAAACATAACATACACCTCAGTGGGCACTCAATGCAGAAATCAGTAGTACTGTTTAAATCTCCCTCTTTCTGTTCTTGAATCGGACAGAAGAGGAAGTGGGGCCCCAGCGATGCCGACTGCAGCAGAAGGGAGCCCTCATCTGGGGGAGAGGTGGCTGCTGTCACTGCCCCCGCTGTCCCAAAAGCCTTGAATTGGAACCAACAGAGAACCCCAAGCCCAATACCATAGAACAAAATTTGAGAATGTGAAAATTGCATCTTGCTGTATACTGCAACTTTAATAATAATGAGCACTTCTGAGTTCGTTATTGAGGTTTATATAATGCCTGAAAGATTTAATTGCTGTTTTCCTCTGTCTCCCGGTTCATCCCGCTTTCTTGTAATAGCAGTAATATGGTTTTGTTGGCTGCCCTTCCCCATGGAAGGCAGTCCCTGTTAATTCTTCTCTCATGTCTTGCAGTGGGTAGGTGCAGCCATATGTACCAGTCCTTTGCAAGCCAAACTTTCCAAGATAAAAGATGCAATGGGCATGTGCCAGGATATTGAATCACTGTACAAAAACAGCACATGCTCAGTAACTTCACAGATTGAAATTGGCTCATGGTTTGACTCCTAAAAATGGATTTTCACATGCACTGGTACAGCTAAAACATGGTTGTGGCCCTTGTGGATGCACTCCAAAGGCTCTTTCCATTGCGATGCTATAAAGTTTGACGAAGGCATTATATGACTGTTTCCATCACTTTCAGATCTTATTGAATCGTATTTTATTGTAATATATATTCATTGCTTTCCTCAGTTAAAAAGAAAGTTACTGCTTTTATCTTATATGAAAAACAAGGGAATTTGGTAAAGCATTCATTATTTTCATATTCCTAGTATTAACAGAATAGAACTAGTACTATTTAATTTTAGATCTTCATAGCTAGCTTGTTAATAACTCATATTTTCCTGTGTTGTATCCTACTATTTTTTTCTTTTTTTTTTTTCCCAAATACTCTGCATTCTTGAGGAAAAAAAAAAAAATCAAATCCAGTGAGTGGATAAGTGCAATATTCATCAAATAAACAGGCCCCTCATCCAGGACTTGGAGTGGAACGTGCAGTGTGAAATGTTTGCAATTCTCTATTCATGCACTCTTATGGGAACAGGAGATGCAGGGGAGGGGGCAGGTGGATAAAAATGGGACCCTTGGGTCGGTAGGGATGGATAGCTGGGGCTGTTGGTCTTGGAATGGCTGCTTGTCACAGAGAGCATCACCTGGTACTAAAAGTGTAAGGATTGTGCAGCATGTTGCCAGGTTTTTGTATAGGGTGTGCATTAATGTCCTTATTAATACAGAACTTCTGAGTTATGCTTTAAGTACTCTGTATGTCATCCTTGCATGATACTGCCTTCTGGTTTGTCTCTGCTGGTGGTTGTCCTCTTTTGCTTCAGAATCAGTAACTTAAGAAAATACTTCTGCTGGTGCTGTCCCGAGTTTTGATACTGTACTGTTATTTGTATTTATTCTGAGAGCTGTGGAAATGTATTTCTATATGTCCTCATTTCTTTCTTTTTTCCTTACGTTAACAATAAAGAAGAAAGTCCCCATTTTATCCAGGTTATTTCTCACCTGCAGAATTTCACAACTAATCTGACTTGAAATCCTAGTTCCTGGCTTGCAAAGGATGATCATTCAGTTCCAAAGTAAAGCTGAGCAGAAACTCTGCTCTTCAAAAAATAAAAATAAAAAATCCTATTTGAATGGATGGAGAATTTCCACCTGTCCAGAGTAATGTCACCATCCAGGTAACAGCAAAACCTCTCTTTGAAAAACTGGACTGTTTTAATGAGATCCAAAAGTAATGTGAAAGACAAGCATTGGGTTCTTTGAGCTCTGGGGAGTGTTGCTCCTGAAGCTCTACTTGATGTCCCTGGAGGGCAGCTGTACCTCAGCCTTCTGCTTAATTCTTGTCCTGCTGCCCTTGAGTTTGTGAAAAGGCTTGGCTATTACCAGAGACCTTTGCATTCAAATAAGAACTGAGTTCTGTAGCTGTATTGAAATAGATGTTTTTCAAAATCCTGTCATTGATACTAACGCTTTACAGATTCATCTTGTTTTGGGGAGCCAACCCAATTTTTTTCACTTGCTCTTGTTCAAACCAGCCAGAAGTCCAGGAGCATCAGTAGGGTTACAATGGCAGAAACCTTCATGAGCGCTCCCCACAGCCCATTCTCCTAAAGGGGCATGGGAGTGCTGTGCTGGGGCTGCCACGCACCATCTGCTGCATGGAGGTTGTGCGGCTTTGTGAGACCCACTGGAGCTTTGCTGCTGTCTTGCAGGTATGTTTCCAATACTAGCAGCTCCTTCTCTGGCAATATCAGATGTTATTTATCCATGTAGCAAAGTGTTGTGTGTCAATTCAGTGTTCAGTAGCTGCCAACAGCACTAATACAATGGTTCAAGAGCAAATGTTTATTTTTTTCCCTGTTTGCTTTTAATTGTTTGATAGAAGCAGGGACCACCGATGTGGCAATGCATAGGGAATGCGTTTGCATGCTTGAACTCTTCAATGGCCTCTGCTAACCTGTGCCCGGTGCTTCTATTTCCTTTTCTGTCTCTCTGTGCTGCTCAGTGGCCACATCTGTTGTTTGTCTGTAGCTTCAGATGAAGTACTGTATGTAGGGCTGCATCCAGAGTTCTCTCCCAGACTTGGGGTTGCAATGTAGGTTGCTGTTGCTGCTTTTCCTCATCATCTTGAAGCCAGTCGGAGCACCCAGAGTTCCCCAGAACTTCCCCTTGGATATCTTTATTGGGGTGTCAGCTGTGTGGGGTGTCCTTACAGCACGGCTGGGGCTCTGCAGTGATCCCTGGGTGAAAGCTGAGTGCAGACCCGATGGCACAGGCAGAACAAAGTAGCTTCTCCCATTTTATAATGTCATGGCTGGGCTGGTCCCATCACCAATGTTCTTCATTTGTTCTTGCATCGAGGTAGTGTTGATTCTAGTTGAAGAGTGCAATTTTTGTTTTCTTTTGTGTTTGAGGTTTTTTTTAGTTAGTTTGTTTTCTTTAATAAATAAATTTGGTTTAAAGCTTCACACTGGCATTTTTACAGACCTGTTTTTGTCAGCATAAACCACCGCTGTCCTGAGTTGAGACTCCTGTTTGTTACTGAATCAAACTAATGGGAACTGTATTAATGATTTGGAAAGAAATGAAAGGCAACTATATTGGCAGGGAAGGGG